TGCTTTCAGGCACCTCAGATCCAGCGGTGTCTGCAAGCGGGTGCACGCGTCCATAGACTTACCTTGCGTATCTGCTCGTCTCCCGGCCGAGAATCCGAACTGTGCCCGCCCCAAGATCCTTTGCGGCCGCCCAAGCAGTTTCGAATTCTCGGGCGGGAGCGCGCAGCGAAAACAAGGCAAGTTTAAACCTGTTAAAGCAGGGTTTTTTAAAAAACTTTTTCCATATATCTACTGCTTGATAGCAGTAGATATTGGCAAAAAACGGAGGGTTTAGAACACCTTCTAGTGGGTTTGTGGGGCCTATCTCATTTCAGCAATGGCAAAGTGAGAATCTTATTTTTTTTACCTGACCCAACAATCTTTCTTTTGATTCCGTTTTATGTATCTTCGGAGATGTGCAACATTAAACATAAAGCAGAACTCCAGTAAAAAAATAAATTAAAAAAACTGCCCAAATAACATTGAAATAAAAAGCTGTGTTTGCTGCAATACTCACTTTAAGGTCGAAGCTGCCTGCTGCAGTACATCTTTTCTGCCACTAGATGTTCTCAGTCTTCCTGGTTCAATGAGTGCAAAGCAACCTCTGAGCTCAGGCTGTCCTGGACCCGCCCCATGCCTGTGACTGGATAGTAAAAGGAGAAGCAGCATAGTGATGAGCTCATCTCTCTGTCACACTGTTTTCTTTTCCTGTCAGCATGCTTCTTGTCAGCACATAAACTGATTGGCTCCTTGTGCTGCTTCTTCCCCTCACTAGACATCCTTAGTCTGATGGCCAGCAGCATCCCACCCATTTTCTCCTGTGACTGGACAGTGAAGTAGAAGCAGTAGAGTGATTAGCTCATCTCTCTGTCATTCTGCTTTCTCTTCCTGTCAGCATGCTTCTTTTTAAGACATGAACCGATCAGCTCCTTGTGCTGCTTCTTCCTCTCACTCTCCAGCACTGCTGTACAAGGACATCAAGAGGCTGATACCAGGTCAGGCACTTACACTGCTTGCATTTAAAAAATACATTAATGATGTATTAGTAAATACAGAGCTGCATTCATTTGTATCTTTTATGTCAGTCTAGAGTTCAGCTGTAAGGTAGGTTTACTAAAAATGTTGTGCGGGCCTCCAGGTGGGAGAGATTAAATATTGGGGGCATTGAGTTCAAGTTTAAAGCTGTCCACACAGATTACAATCTGATTGTACAATTTCTTTTAGAATCTACCAAAAAACTGTAGTCATGAATGTGGTTTTCATTCGGGGGAAACTTCATTCATTCCAAAATCGAATGTTAAAGTCAAACAAAAAAATTAAATCGCTATTTGTCAAGCCTCATATAGCATTATCGAATGTTCTGACCAGATTTTTTGAGTGAATGTTTGTATAAAATTTTAACCCCGTATACCCAGCCTAACTTTCTACATATTGGACTGAAAAGTAGAAGTCCTGCCAATAGCCAGAGTCGCTTCTTGGCTGCTTAATTGCATCTGACAGATAAAGGATTGGTGCAAGGCAAAGTGCTAAGCACTGTACTTACCTAGCATAAGGTTGGATTACTGATGACATCCTACAGAGCTGACGGATTAATTACACGTCTAAACAGAACAGCATCACTTAATGGAGCCCACACTGGACATTGAAAATCAAGGACTAGAACAAGAATTAGAAAGGTATAATCACAGAAAGGAATAAGAAATCCCAGCAAGCTTAAACTGACATTAAAGTCAAAAGATATTTGAACTATTTCAGATGCTGGTCCCCTGAGCACTGGTACTGATATCCTGTTTAAGGGTGGCTCCTTTCCCCTGCAGGTTCCTATGGAGCCACCCTTGTGTGTACTAGTAAGCAAAGGCAAACCAATCCCTGTTCCCTTCTCCTGAAGTTTTCTTCCTCTTACCTTGATGATGACTGTAAGGCTGGCCATACACTGATTGATTTTTTTTTTTCGTTCAACCCTTGGGATGAACGGGGAAAATAGACCCGATTCCTCCATCAACACTAACAGCGTGTCGATCGGGGAATCCCGCTGTTTACATACAGCGGCTGCAGGTACAAGTCAGAATATCCAACCAGAGATAGCTCATTGGCTGCCGGCTATGCTCAATTGAAAATTCTCCGACCAGCTCCCTCAATCAGCTGATCGGGGGATGCCGATCAAAAATAGTATGTTCCTGTTTATTCATAATTGTGGACATAGTAAACATACTCTGTCCTCATGTTATGAATGAACAGGGGCACTCAGTATAGAGGATTCCTGTTCATTTATAACAGGGGCTGCAGAAAAAGAGATTGAGGGCTCTGTGTTCTCAATCTCTTTTTCTATTTTAAAAGGGAAATATCAGGGGGCTGTTTAGACTCCTAATATTTCCCCAAAGCCCCTAAAAGTAAAGTAAAAAAATATTTAATAAAAATGAATAAATAAAAACATAATATATTTGAAAAATTAAAATGTTTATAAAAAATAAATAGAAATAAAATATGGGTATTATATTAATGAAAGCTGATCATTATAACATTAAAAACATCTTTTGGACCTGGTACCTAGTAGGCTCAGGTCGTTTATCCCAGGCCACGCAGGTCAATGCTTCCGGGGCTGCGGAGAGGTGGGTTCCTATATCCATGTCTGGTGGCACTGCCCCACGGTACGGACCTTTTGGGCTAGAGTCTTTGCCTTCTTGTCAAGAATCATGGCTCTCACACTGGCACCAGACCCAAAAGTCGCTCTACTTAACCTGCCCCCTGAGGGTGTTACGCCTAAACAACATAAATTCATACTCCAGGGCCTCACAGCAGCCAAGCAGATAGTGGCGAAGTCATGGCAGTCTGCCACAGTGCCATTTGCGGAGCTGGAGCACAGGCTCCAGTGGTTATTTTCGAATGAGCGCCTCACGGCACGGTTGACCGACAGGGTCCCTCGCTTTGAAGTGATCTGGAACCCCTGGATTAAGAACTTACAGACACACTCATTCGATACCAGTCTGCTAGCACTCTGAATCTAAGGCTAGGACGCCCAATCTCATACCGCCACAAAGGGTTTGAGGTTATCCCAGATTCCCCTCACACCAGCCTACGCTGTTTTGTTGAACTCTATTCCCTCCCCTACCTACCCCCCTTCCCATGCCTCCCATGACCCCTTCCCGGAAGTATGGAGAGGGCAGTGTATGGAAAGTACACGACCCCCAACAGTCGCTATCACTTATCTCTGTTTGAACCAGAATACTAGATGTTCACCGCATGTACTAGAACAATAGTTCGAAAATGTTAACTGGCTATGGATAAACTCACAATCACTGTATGGTGCCTCATAGGCACTAATACTAGCACAGTAGAAGAAGAGGCTCACTAACGTTGCAGTTCTGTTATTATCTGCGAATGTATACTTCTGTTCTACATGCATATTTCAGTATATTGTAAAACAAAAATAAAAACTTTCTTGATTGAAAAAAACAAACAAACATCTTTTGGAATTAAATTGACCTAGCAAAGATTATTTGAGATTTTAGTGACCGGATTTATGTGTTTCCTGTGGACCCTTACTGGTTATCTAGGGAAGGCTACTCCATCTGCTTCACTCACAGTACTTTGGTGGAACTATAATTCTTCATTATTAGGGCAATAACATTACAAGGGGTATCTCGCTATAATCCGCTATCCTGGTCCCTCTAAGCATCATCAAAAGGATGATTTTTTTTAATAGAATCCCACCCACTGGAGGTCAGTATAATAATGGGTGGGGGTGGGGAAACTTTGTAGGAGAACCCTTTTTTAATAGTTAAAGGGTATTTATGGTCAAAAACTAAGACAAAATCTGTATTTCTTTATTGAATTTCTATAAGTTCTATCCCACTCCTAATAACCATATCCATCTAGAAGTGTGTAAACGTACTTATTCAAGATACCTATAGGATGTACTTCCCCAATGAGTGTACTGACACAATTTCACCCGGCCCTGTGAATACGCACTTCTTTGTGTCACCACTCTTGCAAAGCCTGCTGTCTATATTACAACTCAACATCTGAAGAATGTAACATTATCATTGCTTGCTGGACGCAGTGCATTATGGGATATGTAGTCCTAAAAAATTGAGACTGAATCACATCAAGCAGCAGGGAAGGAGACACAAAGCAAACTGAGACTGCAGAAATTGTTGAAAGTGATGGGCAGACAGAAGGCAACACTCGCTACATAAAAGGGATTTTTTTTGAAGTAAGCTTTGATTGTATTATCAAAAACAACTCTAGTATGTATTCCTATCACAGTGCCGATGTTATAACCGGATGGTACATGCTGGGACTTTAGAACGCAACTGAATTAAGCCGGCCTTACACCTACAGATTAACTACAGATTTTCTATGGTCAGATGGAAAAAGTGCAACAGATTCCTCCATCTACGCTAAACTGTGTGGATGGAGGAATCTCCCACTGGGCCAAGCTTCAGTATCTTGCTTGTAGGCCCCGCTGGCTCTCAAAATACCTGAACAATCTGTTTGGATGCAGGCATTGATCAGGTGTTTTCATCTATAGGTTTATGGTCAGCTTAATTCAGTGTATGGCCAGCTTAATTCAATTTCCTGCATTCCCAGTGTGCTATGCATCTCTTTCCCTGCTGCTTGATGTGATTCAATTTCTCAAGACTACATATCCCATAATACATTGCTTCCAGCAAGCAATGATAATGTTACATTGTTAATATGTTGAGTTGTATTTCCATTTGGTCGCCGACCCTCGGTCCCGCCGCCTCTCCCGTCCTCTCTCCCGTCCTCTCGGCGTCTCTCGTCACCCACGCTGCTGCGTGCGCGTGTGTGTGCTTGCTCTCACTGGCAGAAATCCTCCACATCGCCCTCTCTGGTAGCTGTTGAAGTTTGAAAATAAATATAATTATTAATAATAGGGCTGAAACAACTGAAACACATCAGCTGCCATAGTTGGGAACTGCTTCTAGTCATGGTAGCGGTTGACTTGTGAATAAGAGTTTTTGGTCAATTAAACAAAATCTGTGTTTTTCTTCGCACAGATCAAGAAAACCCAGCAAGCCTGTAAAATAACAAAAGACCAAACGCTTATCAAGCAGCACTCGTTGGTGTGGTGGAAAGAGCACAAGCGACTGAGCGATAGTCGGTAAGAGGGTGAAAACCTGCAATTATAATGTGACTGGGCGCTAAACGTGTAATTTGTTCGGTTCGTGCGTTGTTCTCCGACCAGCAATCTGCCTTGGTTTAGTAATATGAGATGTGATTGTTCTCAGCATGAGCAGAATATGTTCTGACCCCATACTTTGGATCACAAGAGAACCTTTATTAATACAGCGATTTATAAAGCAGATCTAAACCCACCTGAAAAAAATCTCATATAAACTTTAACATTTTAAAGCAGAACTTCATCCAAAAATAACAAAAGAGAAAGAAAGAGATAATAGATGAAATAAGAAAACCAGCTTTTGCTGCAAATATTTACCTTCAGTCCAGAGATTTCCCCCACAGTAATTTTTTCTGCCACTAGATGTTCTCTAGTCCAATGGCCAGCATCATTATACCCACTTCCTCTAATCCCAGGTCATCCTGGACCGACCCACAGCCTGTGACTAGGCAGTGAAAGGAGAAGCAGACATAATCTCTCTCTGCTCTCTCTTCCTACCAGCATGCTTCTTGTCAGCTCATAATATGATCTGCTTCTTGTTCTCACACTCCTGCTGTACAGGACTGCAAGAGGCTGATACTAGTTGCAGTTGCAGCTGTTTGCATTTAAAAAATAAATATTCAAGGATGTGTTAATGAATACAGAGCTGTATTATTTGTATACAGGATTTATATAGCACCAACAGTTTTCAGAGCGCTTTACAAATTATGGGGACAGTACAGTTACTACACAATTCCATGCAAGAGTTGTAAGAAAACACATTACTGTGTTTGTAGCAACAACTTCTGCAGTATACAATTTCGGTCACTAGATGGCAGTGTTTATAAGTTATGTTATATATCTATGGTATACTCTGTTGTATTGAAAAAGGTAGAGAATAAAGCTGTGGCTTCCTTCCTGTTTTCAAGCCATGTGCAGCATGCCTATCAGACTGTGTGCTTGTGTTTCTCTGTGAGGCTGTGCAAGAAGTACCAACAAGAGGATTAGAAGCACCCTGCTTGAGAGAGTCTACAATCTGAATTAATTTGTGTCTTTTATATCTCCATAAAGTTTGACTTTAACGTGACTTCAAAATTTTTACATCTGCAGCTTTTATGAACAAAAAAAATAACTGGTGATCCTGCATGCAGGTCATTGCTCAGGAGCTTGTTTTGAGGGTGACAGCCGTCTCTCACTTGTGCTTCTGTATTGTTATATGCATGTAGCCCGTGTCCTTGATGGAGACACAAGCGGCTGTGCTGACACACTTTGCGCAGGCATGGTGCATGGCTGTCATTATCAGGTCCTCAGCAATGATGTGTAGCCAATGCTGGAACCAGTGAATATAAATATGAAGTGGTTACACCCCAGGATGGCAGCGGCATACTTTTTTCATTGTTTTAAAAAAACAAACAATATACAGTATATGTCAACAGGGGCGTCCCGAGGCTGGGTGACACCGGAGCGGTAACCGTGTGTCACCCCGCCGAGACGTCACTGCGCACGTGTATTCTGATACCTGCCGGCGGCCATCTTGGTGATGGACGCCGGCAGAGAGAGGAGGGGACAGTCACCCGGCGGGATAAGGTATGCCGCCGGGTCCCCTCCTGATACTGTCGGGCGTTCGGTCCATGACCGAGCGCCGGACTTTTCAGAGGGGGGTGACACCAAAATGACTGTGAGTCATTTTGGTGTCACCCCTCCAATGGTGTCCCCCTCGTGCGGGCCGCACCCCCCTTGTGACGCCACTGTATGTCAAGATGAAAGAAAGGGTTAAACAGCATTTATGAATCTGTAACTGCAAATTAAATGCCTATTCATCCAAGATACACAAATTAATTGCATTTATTATCATTGTCCAATTTCAATTCATCTGTTATCTGACTGATCATTTTAGGGAAAAAATGGAATCTCAGCTACAGATCTTCCTGGAGGAGAAAAGTACATTTTGTCCTTTTTTTGCAGATATTGTCAACTTCGGTGAGTAAATCATGAAGTGCTTCATTCTCCGTATACGCCTTGCATGCGGTGTCGTGTCATTTGCATGTACAGTAAGCTGCTATGTTTGATGATCAGAAAATGACATTGCTGCGCTACATGGCCAATCACAGAGGTCACCCAAGGGCAGACGTCTGTGGAAATGCCGCAGGGTATGTCATTCAATGACCCAAAGGCTCAGGAATCTGCTAGGAACATAATGCTGAGATGAATAGAATGGCAGAAAAAGCTGCTTGCCAATCAAGACTGAAATGAATGGAAAGCAGTATTATATTAGACATTACCATCCAGCATCCCGTCCGGCTCTGGTGAACACCGCTGTGGCTTTTTTCTTCTACTGGGGGAAATATGTAGGCAGCCTTCACTCACTTCTCCTTCAGGAAATTCTAGTTGCCTGGCTGTCATGCTGTGATGTCAACGTGAAGTAAAAAAATTGTAACATTTAAAAAAGGGGAAATAAAATGACAACCACCTCGATGCAGCTTTTTTCAGTAGCTTTCCTCCCCTTACCTTAATATATTAAAGGCTCAGTTGAAAAAAATTTAACATTTACCACAGCATACACATCTTTATTTTTAATCATCTGCCTGTAGATTTTAAATCTCTTAAGACCAGCAGAATATACCACGCACTTTTTTGAAAATAAGGATCCTCATGACTAATGTTTCTAATTGACAGTGGGTTTAAGAACTGGGAACACATATAGCGGCACATTCCTTGTTCTCTGTTGTGGTTATTAGCATTCTCAGGACAAGGGGCATTTTACATTACATTACATCTTATAAAGCCTTATGGTGGTCTCAATTTGGGTTAAAGGCCATTTCCACCTTTGGCGAGGTATTTTTAAAAAAAACATATGACAGCAATGTACACCGAGTGAACATGAAGCAGGCATATGCAGTTGCTGTATATGAACACAGAAATTTAAATTTTTTGTTAGCTGTCCTTTTCATTTCCTCATGGAAATGGCCACCTCTGTTTTCTGCAAGCAATCTGTTTAAATAACAACTGAGCTCTCTCCCCCCATTTGTTAGTATTCATAGTGGCAACCACCCTCAGCCAGTGTATTGTTACCTAGAAAGGCAGAGCTGGTGTGCAGTGATCTTGTTACAATGAGAACCAGGGAGGGGGACAGCTGCTTTACAATCCGACCCCAGTGTCAGACTGAGTTTCCTGTGGAGAAAATGTTTTAATTTGTAGGACTCAGGGCTAATAAAAAGTCCATAAAAAAGGAATAAAGCCTGCCACGTGAGTCATTAAAATGTACATACATATACATCATCACTGCACCTCTGCATTAATACAGTAAGTGCTAATCACTTACAAAGGTAGAAATGGGCTTTGAAGTCTATCTGCGTGTTTTAAAGGACCTGTATTGAGAACATTTGCAGACTAACATTTCTGAATTGTCCTTTTAAAATGGCTGTTGTGCTAATCCAAAGGCTTTTATGCTTTCAGAGTCACCGAGCCGGAACAAGTATGCAGTTTAAGAGTTCTGACTTTGCTGTGACTTTAATAGTTAAATAAATTTAAAGAGTTCCCTAAGAACACCCAGTCCTACGGCAGACTGTTATGCAAATTCTGGTCAGAGCTTAGAGGGTTTCATTTGGTTTGTCACCTCCCACCCCTGACAACCTCCTGTTGAACAGGGATAAGCTTGTTTTCGGTCCGAACACAAGCTCCTTGAAACCTGAAAGCTACATGGGGCCACCTGCCGAATCAGCTGCGGGCCTGGACATTGCCCCCACCACAGCTGCACATAAATAAAAGGGCAGGGTGCTTAAGCTGATAATGACATTATATGTACACATGGCATATTACGTCAATGTCATTGACCAAATATAGCCATGTGGACATATAAACCCAATGGCGTCACTGTATCCTGCCCATTTGCTTGCATGCAGCTGTGAGTCGAGAATTCCCCAACTGCAGCTGATTTGGCAATAGCGAAAGGAGCTTCCTTCTCTATTTGGAAAAGCTCCTTCAGTGTTCAAGGGGGTTAAGGATCGCACTTGGTTCAGTCCAAGTCTGAGCTCATCCCTACTGTTGACTACTAAATTATCTGAATAGACTTGCTAGCCAGTAGGAAGGTGTAATGGCAAACGGGTGGCAGGCCAGTGTGCAACCTTCCAAGTTCTAGTCAGAATTTGCATAATATTATGCTGGGCGGAAATATATTGAACCTGTGCTAGTACCTGGAGGGGACTGCTGAATAGTGGGGTGGTCAGTTTAACATTTTTAAACTTGGTTTGCTTTAACCTTATTTTATATCAACATTAGTGTCTATTAATTTGAGTCCTAAAATTGTAGAAGAAGCTTAGCCCCCAAAGACTGAGTTGGACATCAGCGATCTCAAAAATGCTAAAAATATGTCCTAATTTTGATGGCTGGCATCTGGTCCACATTTCTTTTTCCCAGTTCCATGAACCTGGGGGAAAGTTGTCAGCTATGAAAACCTGTCTCCCGTCTCTTGGAAATTCCCTCCACAGACACACACACCGTCCCAAGGTATCGGCGTGTGACGTGTGCGGCCGGGGCGAGCACTAGGTCCGCACATGTGCCCTATATAGGCGCATCCGATAAGTGGGGGTAGCCCGTATAACGGACTCCTCCTCCCGGGGCCGTCAGCCTGATGGAACGGCGCTGGTGGGTTAGCCCCGCCGTCCCATCTCCCGCCCACAGGATGGCGGGCCCTCCTCCCGTCAGCGCAATTTTAAAGCCAACAGATCAGGGACATCGGCACCAGCACTGCCTCAAAGAACGATCGAGTCGATCAAACAATGTGGAAGTGCTGGGGTGCAGACCATCCCCAATTAGATGTAAACAGGGGAGTGGCCCGCTAGATCGATCAATCCCGAGTGGGGGAGGGGGTGTCTCCAGAATGCGAGTCATGTCCACCATATGCATTCATCTCACTGGTAGTAGTGAAAACAAGAAGTTAGATAGATAATATAACATACTTTTTAGAAAGATATATGAAAATGATAGGGTCCTTAATATAAATTTGATTGGCAACCAGCTACAGCATACTAAAAAATAAATAAAATAGTAAAAGTTACTGGTGGTAGTGTGCTTATGGTAATAGTGTAGTTAAGCCCATTACTTTAGGTGATCGAAATTAAGGGGTATTGTCAAAAGAATGAAGTGATGCACAGTTGTGTGAGTGAGATGGGTCATGTGACTTTACACCCTATCCCCTGTAAATCATTACAAAACAGCAAGCTTGCCCTAACCATCTTAGACAGCCCTTAAATTTTGTAACCCATAACGACGACCTGGGCAGGCCATCAAAACAGCTCTGTGAACATATATAAATGTTACTTTTTGGGTGTGATATTAACTACGTAGGTGTATAAAGTGATTGATACTATTGGCCATTGGTATGGATACAAAACTATCACCTAATTAGGCGAACTCTACTAAACAACAGACATATATGCATATTCATGTGCCTGGCAGGACCCAGATTTCATTGTCCTGTCAGGCTACATGTGATATCTTATATATATATATATATATATGACAGGATACCTAGTGGAACATTCGATTCTATTTATTCTATAGGTGGCTCAAGGACAGATATGGGAGCCTGCCATTTCCGCTTCCCCTTGGCATCTCCGTACCTTGTGCTCCTGCCTGAGGGGAGGGGCTTCCCCAGATGCGAGTCTTTCTCACCATCATCACATATCCTATTTATGGTATTTATTTATGTATTTATTGATCTATATTAATTAATTGTCATTAATGGCTAATGGTTATGTCCAAACATTGACTGCTTACAATCATATTCATATGGAATTCACAGGCTACCTCTATTAACTTCCTGACGAAGCTACGGCAAAACGCGTCGAAGAAAAGGAAAAAATACAGATTATTATTTTATGGAATTTGCATTAATATGATGAATAATGTGTTTATTGACTTTCAAGTAATGAATTAATATAGAAACGATGAATTATTGCTATTATGCATATTAATCTGTATGATTTCCATAGAGGTGACATGCCGTTTATGTAGTGATGTTTTGAATTGAATATGAGATGTTTTATTTACCTTGTCAATCATGTATTTTCTTTATTAAAAATGAATTTTATTATATTGATGAATTTTTTGACATTATGTTGAACCATACTCCCTGACATTAGTTAGTAGACACTTTTAAAGCCCCATCTTTTCTTCTTTTTTGGCTTACGTATGAAAACCACTGATCTCACATTTACTTTTTGTCCAGTTTTCATTTAATTACATAGATAAAAGTAAAAGAGTAAATTCTTCTAGCCCATAGAAAAACAAATTCATCATCATTCATGCAGGCCACGTATTTTCTGCCACTTTAGATTTCCCCATTTCCACTTCCCAGCGGTAGAAAGTCGACATGTACATGAACAAGTGCTAACCACATAAATGAGGAATAAATAATGCCTGACACATAGTGAATTGAATAAGGAAATCATCCACGGGACACAGGGAATATTAGACATAAACGTAGAATGGTATCTACAGAAAGAAAACTGACAGTCATACACAAGAGCAACAGCAGCATAACAAAGCATTGACTAGGGACTGGGGGGAACACCTTGTTAGTACAGCAATAGTGACAGCAGGAGAGAATTCTGATCAAGCAATTTATAGAAATATATTCTGTTGCTGCACAGTGATGTTTTATACATGGTAGATTTTTTTGCAGCTGATATAGGCTGTGTGGCAGATGGTCCTCAAAGGGTTGGTTTATTTAGTAGGACTCAAGACTAAGGCAACATCATTTGAAACGGGGTCACAGACACCGATCTGGTAATTTTCTGCTGGACTGAGCCACAGCCTCAGGTCGGTGGTGACAAACGGCACCATCCCACAGCCATCAGCAAGAACAATGTTAATACCTGCATTACCCAGTGTTTCTCTGCAGCCTTCTGCACTGACATAAACTTATGGGATTGTCAGAGATGACCTAGCTTAAGAAGCATGCTGTGTATTTGTTGCCCCATAGTTGGATTGTGTCTGAGTGTTCAACCATTGGTAGACTATCATGAGAAAAGAATAGGCGGACCCCAAGGGGCCCATGGGGATGCTTAAAAATGTGTTTTAATAGTAAGTCAACTTTAGCTTAGTGGACTAGCATGAGGGCAGAATGGGCAGCTGCCTGGGACCCCCTAGCAATGCTAAATAAACTATTTTAATAGTAAGTAAACTTTAGCTTGGTGGACTATCATGAGGGCAAAATAGGTGGCTGCCTGGGACCCCATGGGAATACTCACCCTGTACCACGAAGCATCGTTTACATTTTATCTACAACCATCACTTGTGTAGTCTGCAAAGAGTATACTTATGGAGAAAAGGAAATGTAAAATTCAAACATATTATGATTCCATATCCTTTTGAAATGCTTTGCAAATGCATGTAACTAGCAAAACACAAATGCATGCGTACACTAAACCTTAAAGTGTAAGGCCTGCCAAAACTTATTTTTAGCAAAATTTTAGAGTTGTCTCCAGAGCAAGAAGTGAGGAGAAATCTTCCAGTGGGGAAATCTGTTTCAGGGACAACAAAGAGAATTCACCGCACTTTGGGAGATTTTCCAAAGTTATGTGTCTGGGACAAGAAGTGAAAGGAATTGTCCCCAACGGAACACAGAAAGCGAAAATAAACTGGCAGGGGTTTTAACCCTTCTCTACTTTATCCTATAAATCCAATTTATGTAGGAAAGGAAAGAATAGAACCCCTGAGTGGCGTCATAAGGGGGATGCGGCCTGCACAGGGTGGCACCAAAATGGCAGCCCCTCTTCAAAGTCATGGACTGAGTGCCTGACAGCTGAATGAGAGGAGGGGACCCGCTGGCATACCATATCCCGCCGGATGAATGTCCCCTCCTCCCTCTGCCAGCGTCCATCACCACGATGGTCGTGGGCAGTTAAGTGCGCGTGACATCATTACGCATATGCGTGATGATGTTGTGCGCGTGCGAGATGACGTCTCGGCGGGTTATACCCGACGGCCACTCCGGGTGACACCCAGCTATGGGATGCCTTTAGAACCCCTATCAGATTTTAATTTCTGTCTGTGTCCCTGTTGCTAATTTTTTCTCACTTCCTGTTTGACAATGCCACAGGAAGTGAGGGTAATTCTGAGTCCTTAATAGCAGTAAAATGTCAACAGGAGTTCAAATCTTTCTCCACCCAATCCAAAACTTAGCTAGAATAACATTTTGAAGGGGAAGTAAAGTATCTGGAAAAAAGGGCCCCCAGGAGCTTTTTGTCATAATGCGATATTATGCACAGCATGTTAACAGACTTACATGCCAAAGCAATCCCCTCCAGCTCTGCCCTCCTTCCTCGGTGGTGCTTCCATTTTCCTTCCCGTCTTCTTCTGGGTTTTGAGTCTTCAGCCACTTGATTGGCTAGGCCCTGATGATGTAACTCTCATCATGCGCACAGGACATACTTCATCTCAAGCACAACTTGTCTATGCACTAAGCTGTGCATGTGTGGCTCAGTGTACACAGGCAGCTAAACGCTTTTATGGCAGAACAGACTTAACCAGTCTTCTGTCATAGGAAGCCTGCTGATCTGCATATTGTTTTCCAACTTAACTTCCACATTAAGAATGATTTAATTAATTTCACTATGATACATTACATTGATACAATGTGTGCCATATGTTTTAGACAGAGGACATGCACTTGGCAGTTCCGTAATTTTACAGAAGGATATTCAGGAGAGGTCAGTGTTGGCAGACTCTATAACAGGAACATTTCCCCTCACATTTCTCGATGGTAGGACAAAAAATTAGAGAAAGTTGTCACTAGCAATAAAAACCTGACAGATGTACTAACAATTCTCCATTCTACTAAAAAGGTGTTTGTTGCTGTGTCTGTCCTGAGTAGAGAGATATACCATCACTTTTTGCCCCTCTGACCCCCATCACTGGGACAGAAAGTAAGTGGAAATCTCCACAATGGGGACATCCAAGAATAAACACCAGACCTTCCTTGCTCTGTTCAAAAGTAAACAAAAATTGAACTGGAATTAATATTTAAAGGACAAGCTCACTTCAAAGTAAAAGTTTCAAAGTGAACCTGTCCTTCAAGTCTTAAATGTTCTTTTATCCAGTGTAACATGGAAATGGTATGCATGAATGTTGGATGTATCTGATAAGGAGACCAAAGTATGTGCCAGTTGGTGAAACAGTTCTGAAAAATACTGCGCATGTAAAACGTATTTGAGGAAGTTAAATTGCTTAACCTCGGATGTCCCCGAGGAGCCACCAAGCTCTTCTCTTCCCTGTTCTGACGATCCCCCTGGCAGTCAAGAACTTAATTTTTCACTTGCCATTAAGTGATAAAACTCTCTGTTTGGAAGCAGAACAGCAATTATCGGAGGAACGAGATGGGTATAAAGCATGCACAGTACATCCCATCTGGCAGCTGAGGGATGATTTAAAACACAGGATTTGTGAACTGCGGCATGACTCTCTCCACCAGTCTCAAATGGAAAATGACTTTGATCCGGAGAATATAATCCAGCAGGTTAGTATTTTACTTCTATTTCCTCAACAGTACTTATGCATTTTTCTCTTATCACTTTGCATAACTATTACGATACTTTAGGGCAGAATATATGAAAATGAATAACAATTTAGAATAATACCATGCATACTGGGGAAAAAAAGCTGAACAGTATTTTATGAGACTCTGGGCCTCAAGAGAGTCATAAATTACTGTATGAAAGTGCTTGTAAAACCCAGTTAGGGTCTCCCATTTATGAGTAGATAAAGTTTAAAGACGCTATAGCACCAAAATTTCAGGTTTTGACTATTCCAGGTATAATGATGAGTCTGGGCTTGGCACTGTGCATAATAAACCATTGCCATGGTTTCTTTTTTCATAAAAAAATTTTGTTGGAAAGTTGCTGCAGATTTGACTCTTACCAGTCAAGATGATCCTGGACTCATGACTGAGACCTCCTCGTTTATTGGAAACACTGATGAGCTGGTGCTTGGTGTGAACCCACTTCCCTCAAGCCCACCCAAAACTGTTGCTGCCACACCCCCCCTCTCCTGGCCCAATCAGTTGCGTCAGGCACATTCCCTGCCTTTCGGCTATATGTCGCAAAAACGCAGGGAATGCACCTGCCGCAAATGCCACCACAAATGGGCCTGGACGGTGGGGGGTGGCCGTCACAGTTTTGAGTGAGCTTGGGCGAACTCAGGCACACCAAGCCCAGGCTAATCAGTACAGCAGTTTTAGAACACCAAGCCCAGGCTCATCACTATTTAGGAAGAGTAAATTCCTTAACACAGCCCCCTGATCTCCTTGCATATCACAGCCCTCTGCACTTTTAGGAGTGTCTAGTTACTGTTTGTGCTAGCCCTGCTCCCTCCCTTACCCCTCACCACGTAACATAACCTTTAATTTAGCTGCCGGGGCAAAAGTGAAGGGTAATGCTGTAGAGTAGGGGTAGGCAAAATCCAACCAGGGGCCTGACTCCCCAAAGCAGATGCATGATGGTATTTGTATTTTACCCACTGCTGGAGGTCTGGAGTTTGCCTACTACTGCCATAGAGTGTCACTTGAGTGAGAGCTCTAGGTCTGCTAGGGCTACTGATATCAATAGCTTGTGAGCAGGCCCTAGAGTTGTTTGCCATTATTCACCTATATAGTGCAGTTTGTTCCTTGCTCTCTGTTAAAATTGTTTGCTGGGGTAAGGAAACTATGAACACCTCCTGAGCTGGTGTCCATGTTTTAAAGAGGGTTTAACAATCAGAGCTACTTAGGCAGGTGGCAGAACCTAGTCAATGTTACATTTATATGTATATACTAGCTTTACCAGGGCTGCATTTTAGCCTTTGTTCAGCGCTGGGCATGTTGCATCTCACCACAGCATAGGATTTCTATAATCTTTACCATCATACAATAATTGCCGACTGAATCATCCAGGAATGTCAAATTATTTTCTTCCTTTCTACATTCGTAGGTTGAATCTGTGAAAAGACAACAAAATGTGTTAATTGAAAAACTAATTCAAGAGCAGCAGGCTTTAGAAGAAGAACTTTACGGATGTGACATTCTGGTAAGAAAATGGGGATCATGATTTAAAAATAGAGCATAGTAAAATGATCGTTATTTCAGCTGCAACTTATTTTCTCCAAGGAATTTATTCATTTAGAAGAAATTTCAGATCCGCTTGGGGAAATCCCTGTTATTCTACAGGAGATAGAATGTCCATATCCAGACCTGAAGTCCTCGGTACTAAGCGAATATCAGCAGCTTGTTGACCTCTACAGCAGAAAGATGAAAGAGCTTGATGGACAGTCAAAAGATATAGACAGGTAAGATGCTCTATTTTGAAGGACATTCAAGGAGCATTCAAGTAAAAATCATTGAAATGCATAAATATAAATAAACTAAGATTAAAAAAAGTTAAAAAAATAAAGTTAAATTAATAAGAAGTAAAAAATATGTAAAAAAAATAAAGTGAAATAAATAAAAATGTAAAAAAAGTGAAACAAATAAAAAAAAAAGTTAAATAAATAAAAGGTACAAATGTAAAAAATAAAAAAAATTAAGTTTAATCAATTTTTTTTTAAAGTTTAAAAAAAATAAACGGTTGTGGCATTCAGGATTGTGGGCGGCGTTGGACTACATGTCGGAACCGCAGGGCGCAGATGCCACCCGCAATTAAATCAGCTCTCGGCGCCCAGCAGTTGCGACATGCAATAAAATTGATTAGTGCACCCCCTCATGCAATAAAAATGATTAGTGCCCCCCCAGATTTGACTGTGGTATCTTATGTGCCCCCCCCTATATATTTTTCCTAGAGTCGCCACTGATCATAACCATCAGCGAACGCTGGGATCATGCGGCATCAAAGGTGCAGTGGCTTTCATACGACTCAGGTTAAAGTAAAAGTGATGCATACAAATCCAATTGCTCACATTATGAAGTTTACAGTACATAAAGCAGAAGTTGCCTTCAATGAAATTGCATGTGATGTGCAAATCTGGTGATATAGGCATCTGAATGTTTCTGCAAATCTTGTCCTGTAAAAGTCAAGCTTGGCAATGCCCCCTCCCACATCTGAAACCTCTGGTCTGGTCATTTCACTATGATAGGCGTATACACTGAGTGGCCATGACCACCCCATCAGTACTTCGTTGGGCTGCCTCGTGACTCCACGAGATGTTGAAAGGTGATGCGAGGAATCTGACACTGCACTGTTGCCCTTCTGTTGTCTTGTACCAGTCTTGCCACTCTCCGTTCTGCCCTAACATTGACTAGTCGCTGACGGCCACAATTCGCACGTTCAGACCCAGATTTTCGGCTGACAGTCCAGTCTTTAAACACTTTAAACAGCTGCTCTTGAACATTTAACGAATTCTGCTGTTTTGCTGATACTCGCTCCATGGCTCCGAGTGCCAACAACCATCCCACGTTCAAAGGCTGTTAAATCGCGTTGTTTACCCATATCTTCAGAAAAAAATCACTTCTACTGTCGTGGTAAACAACCAGCTTCCCTATTTATAATGGTATGGCCCTCTAGCAACTTCAGCGCAAAATTATAGCTAATTATAGCTAATTTGCCTATAAACATCAGGTGGTCATAATAATCTGGCCACTCAGTGTATATCCCTTAACAAATAATTCAAATTGCTTAACTTCAATTGTCAACATGTATGTAAATTTAAAACTGTTTTTAGTTTTGGATGGAGTGTGGAAGTATTAGAACCTATGCCAGTTTGTTTTTCCAGTCTTCGTCCCCAGGAGGGAGATTCGCTCTCTCCATTTGTCCTTTAGACCAGTGGTTCTCAACCTGTGTAACCTCAGGACATTAAGTCGGTCATTAAGTCGCTACCTAAGTTGCACTGCAATGGAATGCACAGCAGTGTGGGCTGCGGTGCTGTGAAGGAGCTCCATCCATATGTGCATTGCTTGTACAGCTCCTATGCGTGCCTGTAGAGGTGTCAGGAACCAGAATGTGATGTCACTCCAGTCCAGGCACCTCTACAGGACATGCAAGAGAGCTATAAGCAATGCAAGTATGGATGGAGCTCCCTCGCAGCCATACCCCCAGTCCACCCCAAGTCGCCACTCGGTGCCGGACAGCATATTTTGAATGGCTGCTCAGTGTGAGAATGGACAGTGCTGCGCTAGGGGGAGGCTGAGGAGCCTCTCACCGAGAAAAGTGGAAGGCATGCAGCGACCCACTGAACACGGGGTCGCGATCCACTTTTGGGTCACGACCCACCATTTGAGAACCAAGGCTTTAAACCATTGTCCCCAGTAGAAAAAAGTAATAGGAAATCCAACATTCATGAGCTGTCACAGACACAGGAGAAATCTTTCAATAGGTAAACCTGTTCTGGTCACAGCTGTCTAAAAGGGGATATCCCCTTACTTTGGAGAGATCTAGTCTTACTTTCTGCTGAGTCCCTGGGAGAGAAGGTAAAGAGAAATCTCCTCAATGGGACATAGCAAAGAAAACCCAACAGGGTCCTAACCCTACTCTTTCTAGAACTAAAAAATAAAGTTTTGGGTTTACATACACTTTAGCTCTTATTTGCATTACATTTTCTATGATCCTTGCACAACAGCTAGGATTTCAGTCTTTTTTTTTTTAAGCATGTAATCTTTATTCAAATTTTTTTGTTTTTGTTTCATCAAAAAACATTACATAAGATATGGCAAAGTACATCATGCATCCCATCTTGTACACACGCAATTGTGCAACACACATCTGGAGACTAGATGCGATACAGTAATACATTGGTATAAAATTAGCTATTCAATAATGGATTGTTAACAGTAACAGTGCATAGGTACAGAATATAACAGGCTTGAATCAACGTCAAAAGGCAAGTCTCGCAGTCACCTTGTATATTTGGCTGGCTCATCTGCACCCTTTAGTAGAGGGGACCAGAAGGATCAGGGGGGGTCCCAGCAGAGTCAGGAATGGTAGTAGGATATTAAGAGGATTTCTAGCTGGAATCTCAGACATGAACTGACAATGTAGGGAGTCGCTAAAGGACGTCAGGGGCACCCAAGGATCTATTCAGTTTGACTGTGTGGTACCATACTGTATCTTTAAACAGGAATACTATCTCTTTCAACGGAGTTGGTTGTAAGGTTGACACTATGTATGGGGTCCAGGTATCGAAGAATTTCTCTGTAACAGTGCAGTTGTATTGGGGTGGGATTTCAGTCTTTCAAACAGTACCAGCTCACAGTTGGGCTGCTCCATAGAGGAGACATACAGTTGAAAAGATTGGCTCTTACACTTCTTTTTTTGATGTAGTTAACTCACATTCATAGATCAAAACTCTGATTGCTTCAGGCAGTTAGGAAGGTCACAAAAGGGGGTTCTTTAGGCAGCACACTGAATTTAGACACGTTTTTACAAAAAAAGTGGATAACGCTTTCATGGAGCATGTCTGTCACGCCTGTTACGGACTGGGGGGTTGTGGATCGCAGCTGCGGAGGCTTCTCAGGCGGGGAACCCTTGGTTTCACTCTCAACTTAACGGAGAGTTAGGGTTCTTAGCATCACAGCCTCAAATTAAATAATAAATGGATCGGAGAGGGTTATTCCTAAATAGGCGCTATCAATAAGCTCCAGTGTACAATTAGTGAGTACTGAATTAGCAAGGCATAGAAGACACGACAGTATTATTTGGCATTGGTACAGTTCCCCAGTAAGTAGATACGGCTTTGCAAATTGTATTTCAAAGGTATACAGTCCTGATGGCAGAGTGTGCAACTGCACTGAAATACTTGCTATTTAGGTGGTTGCCGCTGGAGGTAGCTGGGGGTCCTTTGTGGTGTCCGGTTCCGGTGTGTGTGGCTGGAGGGCACAGTCTGGAGGCTATGGAGGGTCCCAAGAGACAGCAGGCATTCTGGCTCAATATTGGAACGCCATGCTGTCTCGTCTGAGCGTTTAAATAGGGCTATGAAGAGGAGGAGGAGCTGCGGCATGCACTGGCGCACTTCCGCGTTCCACGGTGGAACGCACGCGGCCCTGAAACCGGAAGTGACGAGCGTGCGCTCCGCCATGGAACGCAAGCGGCCAAGAGAAGGAGCGGCTGGCTGCTGCGTCTCCCGTCCCTGCTAGAGCTGACGGCGGCGGCCGTTACAATGTCTCACCAGATGGGTGATAGTTGCAGTGGTACTCCTTACTTGAACATTCTAAGAAGTGCAGATTGTATAGTGATTTGCAAGATCTAGCTGTCCATGGTTAGCCTTATTATCTTCAGTTTTAAAGAGGAACTCCAGGAATTAACAAAATTAACCCTTCCAGTGGGGCTACCCCCGCACTGCAAGGGTTAACTGCTCTGTTTTTTTTTCTAGGATCTCGATTAAAGATACACTCAGCTGATCATCAATCCTGCTGGGCTCCTAGACCAGTCCACGCCCAATCTCCCCTGGGCTCCTGCAGTCTAAGCCCCACTGACGTCATCACGTCTAATGCAGGTCAATTCTCCTGCATTAAACATGAGGATGTCGAGTGACATTTTACAGCCGGAGCAGTGGGGGAGAGAGGTGAGCACTGGCAGCCACAGGACCGAGGATAAGGTGAGTATATCTTCTGTATTCCATTCCCTAGACCAAAATGTGCAATTTCGATAATAGCTGCAGTTCCTCTTTAAAGCGAACCATGCTTTACCCATGCCAGGCAAAGAAGCAGGTTTACTGTAAAGTGTACTTCCATTATTTCCAGGCTAAATTTCAGAATGTGTTTGTTATGTGTTCCCATGGGTTTAAAATGCACGTGGTGACAGCATATAAATGTAGGTTTCTCTAATTTACAGTTTAAAGAATGCAATAAATTTGCAGAATTACCAGGTGAACACAAAGGAATGAAAGTCTGGAATCAGAAAAACTAATGCTGACACCACATCTAAGGTCTGAAAAGCTGCAGTAAATTACATTTTTGTTTTTGGGTTCAGATACACTTTAAAGGAGAACTATGAGGTGAGTGCTTTTCACTCACCTCATAGTTCTAGCCGACCTGTGACAATGAGACTGTCACAGGTCGGCTGAATCGATCGGGAAGTGAGCGAACACATACCGGCGTTCGCTCACTTCTCTATCCCGTCACGGCCCTCTGCCGCGACAGGGGAGGGGCTGGATTCCTCCCTCCCCGCTCCGATCCTCCAGCGCTGACTGGAGGAACGGAGGGGGCGGGTACAGCTGGCTCTGCCTCTAGATAGGCAGAGCCAGCTGTCACTCACGCAGCTGGGCGGATCCAGACATAATTGTCGGGAAACCGCTTCAGCTGCATCGTCTCAGTATACCGCGAGCAGCAGCTTGCGATATACTGCGGCGTCTAAGTATAC